CACCCCTCCCCCCCTAATGAAAGAATAGACCATTCCAAGCTTTCACTTTAAACAACTCTATTCAATTAAGGTTTACAATCGTATTGTTCTTAAGTTTAATAAAAACTGAAAGTCAATATAGACCAGATCAAAGTTGCTTGGAAAAAACTTGTCTTTAAAGCTTATAGACCTGTTAAAAAACAAAGATAAACTGTGCATTGATACATGCAGTCTTCTTGCTTGTTGTTGTGATCAGTTATTAAGCTTTATGTTTTTAACGTTTTGAAGTTGTGATTGTAATAAACTTAATACCTGAAATGTTATTTAAGAACTTGTTCATCAGTGATTGAAGTTTATATCCATAGCTTTTTGGGACTTTGTTTATTATTTGTTTGAATATGTTATATGTATGCAAAGTAACTGCAAGCCAGATTTTTATCTTTTAATAATTTTAAGTTTTAATAATATACTATAAGTCTAAACCTTTATAGGGAATGTGTATTTTTCATTTGTGTACAACCTTAGTAGACATTCCAAGTTCCAAAAGAAATGGGAGGCTCAGTTTATTCTTGAATTTGCCTTTTCACTGAACGGAATCGATTTTATTAAAATATCAATTAAGATTAATTTATGTGCCATGAAAAATATGTTTAGTACTAAGATTTGCTGTCTGAATATGTTATAAAATAGCAAACAAATTTAGTTTTGCAATTCTGTTGTCCTTAAGTTTAATAAAAACTTAAATTCATTGTGGAATTTCCTTGGAAAGGTTTTGTGCAGATTTATTAGAGTTAAATTATTGTTATAGACTAACTGTTACCCTTAAAAGAAATTTATAGGTTAATAAATGCAGTGCTTTCTTATTTACTTGTGCATTAAAATACTGAGCTTGATCATTGATTTGAAGAGATTGTAAAGTATTTTGGTTTGTTGGAAAATAGAGGTAATGAGATAGTAGAAAACTTACCAGAAGTTTTATTATTCTTTTTAAGAACAAGTTGTTTATTACAGAGAGGATGTTGAGAATGCTAATGACAAAACATTGGCTATGGTTGCTGCCCTTGCCACTGTTCTTAAACAGTTTGGAGTGAAGAGTCAACAAGCTGTCAACTTGATTGAACGATGTCCGTGTTTTGTGGCTAAAGAAAAGACAAAGCTTAAGTTCTTACAAAGGAACAAAAAGGTTTTAAAAAATACTATGAATTGAATCTGTTACTGAATTTTAAAAAATATATGGTCTTTTTTTTAATTATGAATAGAAATTAATGAATGTCTAATCCCTGCATAAGGAGAGTAAATGGTGTAATTTAACATTTTCACAGTAATAATTTCAGCTGTTGCTACTTAAGCAGTTATTTTTCATTTAACCCTATCGGCCCAGGTACCCTTCACTGTGCATAACACAAGGTTTTAGTGTCTTACATTAAAAATTTTATAAACTACTTTTTGTTTATGTTATACCAATCAAAATAGCATAAAAATCTTAGTTAATAATCCATATTTTAATAGTATACAAGGATTAAGTTCTCAATTCTAAAAGGAAATATATAAAAAAATCCTGAATTACCACTAGTGTAATGCACATGACACATTTTGTCTTAGCATGTCATCATCCCTATTTTATCCATCACTCCTCGAAAATGTATGAAATTAAACATGAAATGCTCTCTATAAAATCGTTATTGCTCAAACAGACCATAATATTTAAGCCTTCAATTTTGTTTGGTTACAGAGCTATCAAAGAGAAAATCAAACCCTCCTACCCACCTGTCACATCCTCTCTTTCACAATTGGTTGATAGTTCTCTCTTATGTTTCATTATATATTACCTATAACCAATAGAAAGTCAAGGTTTTCATCTATCAAATGGCGTATTGTATTACATTATGTTCTGAACAGATAACTGTCAATTTCACTCTGAGTAGCAACATTGTTCCCATTGGAAAGTTAACAACTAGCTTGGATGAATTTGTAATGGCTCTTGTCGCATAGTTAGAAAGCCAGGAAAATTTTTAGAAGCAA